TAATCCTTGGGTTTGTTTGTATTTTCCTCTTTCCCATGTGCCTGGGAGAAGGATTACACTAGAGTTTAGTTGCATGCTCCACAAAATCTGGCTTGTTATATTTTTTGATTGGGTTACCTCTTTTATAGACGATGAGAATGCTGTGGACATAATCTATCTTGATATTAGCAAAGCTTTTGATAAAGTGCCCATTGATATATATATATATCCTGATTCACAAACTAGGTTAAAGTGGGCTAAATGGAACAACAATCAGATGGATCCACAGTTGGCTATAAAATTGAACTTAAAGAGTTATCTTCAATGGCATCTTCTCAAACTGGGAAGGGGAAACAAGTGGGGTACCTCAGGGTTCAGTCCTGGGTCCAGTGCTCTTCAACATTTTAATTAATGGTTTGGATGAGGAAGTGCAGAGAATGATTATCAGATCTGCAGGTGACACAAATCTGGGTGTGATAGCTAATACCCTGTGTTGGGAAAATTCAGATAAATCCTGGCAGAAAAGGATTGTTTATAGGTGCCTTTGTGTTATAAAAGCAAACCTGCACCCCTTTCTCAGAAAGCACCTGGATTCCAAACCAGGTTACTGTTTAGCATTTGCTGTTACTTTAGGAAGTGGGATCTGATAGCTTCCTTGAGAAGCTGCTAGGGCTATTGTTTTGCTGATCAGTAAGCGCTGATAGGGCTACCAGGTTAACAGCATTGCAATCACCCTCATTTGCATGCCAAGACCCACAATAATCCCTGTGCCTCAGTGATTGTTATGTTAATATCCCGCAATCCAATGCCATTGGATTGAGCCCCCTTAGCAGACTTCTAACCTTCTTCTATGTTCCCCTTATTTCATCATCAATTGCCCACCTGCTGGGCCCATGTGACTCAGACTCTATAAAACACTCTGTACATGTTCTAAAAGCTTGTAGTTGGTGGTTAGAACCACTACTTGGTAGCATGCTGTTGCAAGTAACTGCAGGGGTCTTGGGTGATCTTTCAATAAAACTGCTGAGGTTCAAGGCAAAAGGGGTCTTTCCTGACTGAAACCGGTTATCTGGTGTTGCAGCTGCCATCAAGGCTTCCTGACATCAGCAATACTGAGATGAAGATTTCCTTCATTAAGATTGTGGCCACCAAGTCCAGGACTTTTACCCAGTCTTTGTGGGCTTACTTGCAAGGCTTTCTCAATTGTTGCAAAGCTAAGGAAGTGGCAGTTCTTTCTGGTTGCACACAGTGATGCAGCCAGGCTGGACCGTGGGACCAAAGTCAAGGGCCTCACAACTCACTCCTCCCTAATGGTGGAGAAGCAGGGGATGGGTCAAAGGCTAACAGGCCACATGTTAGTATCTGGGCCAGTAGGCACATGTTGGGGCACCCTGGGGCTGGCAGCTCCACACAGCATCCTTCTCCTCTTCCTCCTCCTCCAAACACAGTCAAGGGACAGCCAGGTAAATGATTGTAGATGGCCATTTTTTATTTTACTTTAAAGATATAGCCTCCTTTTCCACAACCAAACATGAGTTCTCAGTAAAAGGGTTCAGTATCAGGACAGTAGAAGAGAACTTCACTTTATTCCTACTGTTTGCATTTTGGAGTTTAAAGTGCAAAATGCCTGAAGAATTTCTTGGCTTTTCTTTTAATATTAGCAATGTGGAAGTAGTTATTTATGAGCTTTGTAACTGTGGTAATACAGCATGACTATCAGAAGTATCTCCCCCCCCCCACCGCCCCATAAGCACAAGTCAGCAATTCCCTTGCTGCAATGCTGTCGTCACTTCATGCCTTTTCCTGCACATCTCAGATGATCCTGCTATGCAGTCCCAGGCTCAAACTAGACTTTTGTTGTTGTTGTTAGTCACGAAGTTGTGTCTGACCCATCACAACCCCATGGGCAACATTCCTCCAGGCCTTCCTGTCCTCCACCATCCCCCGGAGTCCACTCAAGCTCACACCAACTGCCTCAGTGACTCCATCCAGCCACCTCATTCTCTGCCGTCCCCTTCTTTTGCCATTTACTGTTCCCAGCATTAGGCTCTTCTCCAGGGAGTTCTTCTTTCTCATGAGGTGGCCAAAGTATTTGAGTTTCATCTTCAGTATCTGGCCTTCTATTCTTCCTCATTTTCCTATAAAATGGGGATGGGGGCTAGATGTATATCAATCTAAGGAGATGGAAAAGAAAAGGACATCATACCCTTGCCTGACCACTCCATGCTTGGCTGTTTGAACCCATTTTCCCTGGACAATCTGAATCATAATAGACTCCATAATGGATTGAATCAGACTTTTCTGCTTCTGTCCCTAAGGCCCATCCCCTTATTCTTTAGTCTTGGGAAAATAGATCTGCTGAGATTCTGACTTGGTCACTGGGTTCATCTTCAGTCAGGAAGCGTGACATTCTTAGAAACTTAATTACTGCAGCATGTTCAACAGTGAGGCTTGGTCCAAGCAGTAAACTTTTTCCTTATTTTGGCAACTGCGTGTCAACAACTTGAAAATTGTGACACACACATTCATAGAGGTTTTCAAGGTCTTTCCTCAGACACTGAAGACTGCTTGGCAGTCAGGTAGCCTTTCCTGTTAAACTTGGGTTTTTGCAGGTCTTAGTCCAGAACTGGAGAACTGGGGGCCTACTCAATAAATAAGGCTCCTCCTTTTCCAAACTTTATAAATATTCATCTCTTGGGAAATAGGGGGTTTCTAATGCTAGTCCTAGCTAGAGCAGACCCAGTGAAATGAATGAGACTTGTTAGTCAAGACTGCAGTGAGTACCAATGGGCCTACTCTACGTAGGGCTAACTTTGGTTTCTACTCATTTGTACAGACCTGCCAACTGAGGATAGTGCTTTGTACATTTGGTGAAGTGAACGTTAGCTCCCAGAAACTTACTCCATGCTAAATGTGTTACTTGTTGTAGTTTTTAGGTGCTACAAGATTTTTCCTTTGCACAGACTTCTTGCATTTCTGCTCATAGCCACATGATGGTGACCAAGTTAAAAGAAAGTAGGTTGGTGGTGTATAATTTTATTTGCAGGCTTCCTGGGAACTTCTTTATCAGGCTGTTTTTACAGCAAAGACCTTGGTATATACAGCTCCATGTTCTATAGGAGGACCAAAAGAAGAAATGGTTCCTGTACTTTTAATAATAGTGAAGAAGAAAACAAATGGATTGTTTCTTGAAGAGTTTTGTCTTCCTTTGCTTCTGGTCATCCTAGTGCTTTATATTTTACCATCCTGACACTTCATTCCTCCTTGCAATGATTTCTGCCAAAGACTACAGATCAGTCAGTCAGATCCATAAAACTTTGTCTGAGATATATAAGAATGGAGTGACAGCAGTTAGGAAAACAGAGTAAAATACAGAATCCCACTGCAGAAGATGTCAGCAAATCATTCTGTTACTTGGTGCCAGTGGTGCAATATCTAAACGTATCAAATAAAGTGTTCAAATGCAAATGAGGACAGAGGGCTCCTTGACTTGTACTTAATGGACAGGAGGAATGGGCAAAGTTGTCCCCATTGAAACTTCTCTGCCCTTCTTTATGCTTAGACTCTAAGACTGGAGTAATCCTAAGTGCTCAGAGGGAATGATCTTATGCAAGTTTTTTTTTTTTTTTTAGTTAGAACTGACTGGGATGTGCTGGAACTTCAAGGCCATTTTACTGTGTATAGAATGACACTTCATGCATTTGGGGAAGCAGGCTGTAGTTAATCAAAACTTATGCCATACTAGTTAGAGAAGGACTGGGGGTAAACATTCTAAGAGACTTCACCAGCTCATGGGCAGGGGGGCTGGGATCTGCTGATTCATTCTGTAAATCTTTATATTTTTTTTCTAGCCCAGAGGAATTGTCTACAGAAAATCAAAGCAAGGGGTTATTTTTTTGCTGTCGGCAGTCTATTGTTTTGAACTCCTCCCTCCCCACCCCCACCCCCCCACACACACTACTATCAAAGTTACCCTGACTATCCAGGTAATTTCATTAATGTTGCATAACCAGTAGCTACCAGGCACTTTCCCCCAGTCTGCAGTAGCAGTACAGGAGTGTCTGTGATGCGCCAGTGGCAGTGCAGAATGAACCAAATACAATGTGGGAGAGCCATTCATTAAAGCAACAACAGTAGCTTTGCAGGGCATGCTAAATTCCAGTGGAAAAGAGACAGTGGGGAAGGAAGGGGGTGTCTAATGCTTCTCTCCCTCAGTCCCATTTCCCTGATCTAAATGGCCCCCAAAGGTGCTCTTAGCCCCACAGGGGGAAATGCAGGTATAGCTGTTGGACCTGTGGGGTTAATAGCAAGTTTGGGAAAGTGAGCTAAGCTGGGGAACTGATACAGGAGGAAGGGTAAAATGGTTCCCTGTCAACAATGATCAAAGTCAGAGTACCCTGTCTTTGCTTTAAGGGGTATGTGTTTGTTTCACAGTGAAGAGATCTGATTACAGATCTTCTGCCCACCATTTCACTTCGTTTTGATTGTTCAGATGAAACAGATGTCAACTGTTCAACAGCCAGGGAAATGGACAAGGAGCGCTGAGCACTCCGAGGAAGGGAAGTAAGAAGACGTTTCTGCAACTATAGGATACAATCAGTCACAAAATACATGTGTTGTACATTGAACCGTGGGTCTTCCACATATGAGAGCAGTTGCAATGTAAGTAGCACCTTGCAGTTAACTAAACATGTACATGTCCTGGCTGCCTTTGAAGCCATGTGCCAGAATTATGGACCAGTTCTCTGGGCTGGGAGGGAGGCCAGAACCAACCACATGTTATAAAAAGCACTTTTCATACAAGGGAGTGAGAGCGAGCTTGAAACACCAACTATTTCTCTCAACCCTGGCATAGCGTTTCCGATAACCACACTTAAACTAGAGCTGTAATTTCCCTGTTTTATATATAGATGGAGATGAATATATGCCCCGGGCAGGCACTATATAAAGGGCCGCCCTGCCACAGCTTTCCTCACACACTGCTGTTCCTCACACACAGCATATTTCCTCCAACAGCAATCATGGACACTTCGTACCCTCGTGAAGACTACCTGCCCATGACATCCCACAAGCAGGAATCTTCTCCAACCATCATCACAGTCAGGCCTCCCATGGCCCCACGTGACTACATGATTTGGTCTGTCTTCAACACCATCTACATGAACCTCTGCTGCCTGGGCTTTGTAGCACTTGCCTATTCTGTGAAGGTAAGAAGATTCTCTTCTGCGCGGTTCTTATTTCCTGGGGACATATATTTCCCTGGAATGGTATCAAAGGAATTCCAATAAAGAAGAATTTCCCAACAATAGCTCTGCTATTTTGTAGCAGTAGCAATGCAGTTTCTGTTATAGAACCTTAGAGAAAAGAAGGAGACCCTTTCAGTCAGCTTAGGTGCAGAAGACAGGCTTGGTTCCATGATGAAGAATGCAGTGAAACTCAAAAACTTGCGTGTGACTACACTGGAGCTAGGTTCACATACTGATTCCTTTCCATAGTACTCTGCTAAGAATAATAAATGGGATTTAATACATCTTGGATTTAAGCGTTAAATTTGTGTCTTTTCCATGGGCCAACTGGACATTTGGATTTCTTTACTCCTTTCCAACTGTTGAACTGCAAAGTACTTTCAAACACTGAAAAACAGTAATGAGAAAATAGAAGTAAACAGAAGTAAAATAAAATAGAAAATGCAGAAGTAAATAGGATCAAGAGAATATTATGAACTCATTTCACCATGACTTTGGAAGTAAGAAACTGCTGTACTTGGGCTTCATTCCCCAAGGAGATACGGTTTTGATTAATGTTGAAGAGCCAGAGGCAGGTATGATTCAGGCAAAAATCAGTATACAGCTGGCACAAGTTATTCCATATGCCTTACAGGGCTTGTAAACACACCAGTTTAACTTCCTTCAGACAGCTCACTCACATCCAGCTGCTCTGGGTCATCTGCACAAATTCCTGCTGGAACTCAAATGGAGAGCACATTTAGGTTTTTTGTTGATAGGTGCAGAACAGCAATCTGTAGAACAGCCAATATAATTCCACACCTCCATGTAGCCCAAGCTTCACAGATGCTTGTTTGTATTCTGCAGAAGGAAGGCAGCATGCAGTTAGGTAGTCCACTTAATAGTCATATGAGACTTAGGGTGCAATTCTATGGCTTCCTCACATAAATCTATATTTTTAAACCATTCCAAGAGCATTATGCTAATCAAGCAGTATAAATGCATCAAATAAATAAATAAATAAATAAATTGTGGGGTGGGCATGGGATAGGCTAGGTTTCAGTCCTGATCTCAGAAAAAAAATTTTTGTAGTCAGAGCTGGGACTTCCCTCTCTCCATCCTTCCAATCAGTGCAGTTCTTTCTCCTCTGCTTGAGCTCTGACAACAAAAGATTGTCTTTAGAGCCTGTGTGTGTGTGTGTGTGTGTGTGTGTGTGTGTGTGTGTTGGGGGCATCTTTGGAGTGGGGAGGGAAGGAGCGAGGATTCATCAGGACACAAGGAATTATGGGACACAAGGACACAATGAATTTTTCTCCTCCTTGTGAAGAGAAAAACCTTGACTAGGCCTTATACTGGGTGCCTGTAATCCTCCTAGTCTGGTGGGTTACAGGCAGCCATACTGGAAGGAACCCTTAGTTGTCTTATAGGAGGCCTCTTCTTTAGGTGACAGTGTGTGTTAATTCACATCGTTGTTACTTGTTGCTTTGCTGTTTCAAAATGTAGTAAGCCATCTTGCTGTATTTGGGGGCCTTAAATGTCTGGCCCAAGGTCCTACCTCAGTGGCACCACTGATGAAATATGCTGGCTTCTGGAACTTCAGCACTCAAGTTTTGGTGGTTGCTGTACAAGTCTTAGGATTGTAGGCAGGTGGCAATTAAAGGAAAGCCCATTCTTGTAATCATATTTACTGCTTCAACTCAGGAATCAGGCCCAGGAACTGCATTTACTGTGCTCAAAACACAGTCTGAAGATGAAGTGGGTGAATTCTTTGGGGAAAGTGAAGCAAAGCTGCTTTTGTTTAGGCTGGAGACAGACAGTCATTACTGAAAAACTTGGAAATGGTATGGCAGGGGTATTATTACCCTTGAAGTGGCCATATAGAGTTGTTTGGGGTTGTTGTTGGTGGGTTTTTTTTTTTTTTTTTTTTTTTTTGTGGGGGGAAGGGTTCCCATTCTCCCCTCTGAAACACTGGCAAACCTGCCCAATCTGAAACAAATGCTGGTTGTGTCTACACAGAATAACCAGGGATTCCCCCTTTCAAACCACCATCCACATTTATCTTGTCCAATGTATTTCCTCTGCTGCCATTCATGATTAAAGCAGAGCTGATGCTCAGAAACCGTGCTGCACACCAAATGCTGCATCCATGAGGAGGGCATTTAGCATTAGTGGGTAGTTTCCTAACACTTTTCAAGGGCAGTTCCCCATAGAGAACGTCACAGTAATCCAAGGTATAAATGTGGTCTAAACTGCTTTGTGAACCAGCCAGAGTGCTTCAGCTAATGGGTGATGTGGAAATGTAATAAACAGACAAGATATAATCAATGAACTAATGAAAGGTAACGAACAGATCACTGTGACCAGATCTACTTTTCCTAGGGCGGGAGGAAACAGTGGCACCAGCTGAGGCTGGACAAAGGTGCTTGTGATCCAGCCCCTCAGGAGTAATGCCGGGCCCAAGAGTATGGAGAGTACTGAGCATGGCAGGGAAGGCCCACCTGCTTCGATTTATGTTTCAGGCTGTCATTTAAGGCCATAGGTGCATAGCCAATTCTTTTCTTTTTTTTTTTTAAAGATAGAGGTCTTAGTGAAACAGTTATTCTAGGAAAGACAGCATTAATTTTCAGGATGGTGTGTGTTCTCCTGCGGGGACACAGAGCTAGGCTCCTTTATTGACAGATTGAAGGCCCATCTGTGGAGAGGAAAGAGGGAGAGATTTGTGAGGAGGTATAAGCTATCCTGAATGTTTCTGTTAGCTACCTCTTGGGGCATTCCTGGCTTCTGTGAAAAGTGGGCAGCTCCATTCTAGGGTTTATTAACAGTCTTCTGAGACTGGAATGTCACCCAGCGTGAGAGCAGAAAAGCAGACATGTGAGCAAACATAATCTATCTAGACAAGGATGGAAAATGTGTTCATGAGGTATTAGAGTACATGTGTTAGAGGCATAGGAAGCAAATTTTTCCCATTTAAACTCAGTGTCTGTTGTTTCCTTTGACATCTAGAGAACAATTACAACATTTTGTGATGTGTGTGTATGCATGTGTGCGCATGTGCCTGGGATGTCACGTTCCTATTCCCTCCCCTGCCCGTCATTGTCCAGCTGTTGCACTCATGGCCTGCTGAGGAATGGCACTGACAGAATGTGACTTTTCGTATGAACTGGGCTGTTTGTGCCAACCAACCATCCAAATGCCTTGTGGAGGACAGGGGGACAGCATGGAGGTTTGTTTATATATTTCCGTGCATTTATACTCTGCCTTTCTTCCATCATGGAACTCAAGGTGGCACACATAGGAGTTTCTAGGTGGTCTCTGTCTGGACATGGAGTACATCCAGGCCTGTTCAGTTTTAGTACAGTGTACGACATCAAGTGCCCTCAGACTGTCCCCTGGCACAACTGCCATGTGGACTATATGGACCAAAGTGGTGGTCCCTGTGCCTTCTTTTTCTTTCACAGACACCTGCACAGCAAATCTATGTGAGCATCACTTGACTCCAGCTGCCTGTTGCTTCTAATATTATGGCTTTAGTTTCTAGTGTTGATCAATGCTTCACAGTTGTGCTGTTCTGTTCCATCCTTTTCATTAGAATACATCTAATTCTCTGTACTTTCCCTCTCCTCTCTCTTCAAGGCACGGGATCAGAAGGTGTCTGGCGACTTGGAAGCTGCCCACCGCTATGGCTCCAAAGCCAAATGCTACAACATCCTCGCCACAGTGTGGAATGTGGTGGTGCCTTTAGTGCTCATTGCTCTGCTGGTCACTGGTGTCCTCCACCTCTCCAAGCTGGCTCAGGAGTCCATGGACTACTTGGCCTACAGACTCTTCCCTAGTGACGACGATGACAATAAATGAGCCAAGGGCCATGGGCATTGCTGGAAAGGTCTTTTTGATCATCAAGTGACTCTCCACTGGTGTAACCCAATATTGCACAATACAGAAACCTCTGTTGGTTCTAATTCAGGCTGTCTGGTTCATTACACTGACGTATTCATGTACCCTGCAGCTCATCCCACAGCTCAACCTCTGGAGTTGCAGCTGATGTGAAAAGTCACCTTTGGCATTCTGCACAGACCCAGAGGCAAGCTGTCTGCCGCTGTTTTCCAGCTGCTGTGCCATACAGTTCCCTTCATTGTTAGGTTTTCTTTCCAGCTTTCCACCTCTTCCCCCTCCCCACTTGGTTGGTACCCCCTCTTAGCAAAGTGGATTGCCAACTTAGAAGAAGGCTATCAAGTAAGCGTGTGGAAACTGCATCCCACATTTATGAACATGCCAACTTAGCCCCATGTCTTTTAATATTTCTGTTTTTGGCGTAGTCTCTATTTAACAGGAGCTCTGCATATGTATTAGGTAACACTGGCAGTAGGCATATATATTAGCAAATATGTTAGCATAATTAGCATATATGTTAAAGGCCATACTTTGTCTTATCTGCCATTTATTGGTGAGTTTGTAGAACAAGCCATCTCAGTTCATTTTCACATGCTGGTTGGCGTGTGTCCAACCACATGGTGGCTTGTCTATGGCAGCTTTCCCCAACATCTGGTATCCTCTGGTTGTGACTACAAGTCACAACATTCCTATTAGCCATGCTGGTTGGGTCTGATGGGAGTGGGGAAAGCTGATCAGCAGAAACACATTTAGGCTGCAATCCTGCACCCACTTACCTGATAGTTAAGTTCTACTGAACTCAGTGAGACTTACTTCTAAGTAGGGTAGCATAGATTTCACTATGCATGAAACAGCCTGCTACAGTCAAGATATCAAGGGTTTTTAAAAACATGTTTAATGACAATTTCCTAATTTCTCCCTAGCCCTCTCCACTCTGTTTTGCAGTTTTGAGTTTTCACTTGTTGCACATTGATTGATACAGTTCAATTAACATGTTTATTCTGTACTGAGAAACCAGGAGGTGGACAATACTTTCAAACTTTGAAAAGAACAAGCTCTAGACTCTTTCTTATAACCCTCAATATTTCCTCCCTATTTTCTTTCCCTGACATTGATTCTAGTCTATTTTGTTTGTAACTATTTAAGTAATTAAATAATTTTACAATTCACTAGCCTTTTGTGCATCTTTGTGTTAATCGAAATAACATTAAGTATTTGTGCCTAGGTCATATTTTCAACCTCAGTTATTGTTATGAAAAAGGACACTCATTGTAATCTTGATAAAGGCCAAAAGCCTGATGGAGGAACATGGATGAGAGATAATATACCTGTGGACATGATAGCTCATGGCTTATGCCAGTCCTGCCCCAAATCTACAGCCTTTGAAGGCTGCTTCCATGATTGAAAACATACCAGAAGGAGATGGTATAGAATAGCATGTTGCACACTGCAATTTATATGGCCATGGTGAGAAGAGGTGATATGCAGCAAAGTGATAGACATGAGCTTGCCATAGGCTTCTTGTATCTTCACAGTGCAAGCCCATGCATGTCTACTCAGAAGTGAGTTCCCTCTTAGTCAGTGGAACTTACTCCCTGCCAAGTGTGCTTGAAATTACAGCCTCAGATTGTTCTGAAGAGTAAGAGTGAGATAATATTACCTAAAGCAAATGGAATTTAAATCAAGGTTGCCTTTAGATTAAACTCTTACTGTGCTATCATTCTGCCTCATTTCTGGAATTTTAGGGGAGGTTCAGATGAGTGATCCTTCCGTGTTTTCCTACTGCTTCTTTCATCTTCTTTCTTATCGCAGAAAATTTGTTCAGGAGAAAGCAATGGAATAGCTGTGTAATGCCTACTGATGGGTAGCTCTAGGGACTCTCCATCTGGAAGCACCCGAGGAACTTGCTTCTCTAGAGATGTTTGTCCTGGAGGGATGTGCTGACCTCCCCTCAAGAATCACCCCACACTATCTGGAAATCTGAATTGAGAAGATTGCCTCTGTGAGGTTGGCAGTCACCCACGGGTGATGAGTCACTGTGGATCCTGGTGGCCTCTTGTCACCCCTTTGGCTTCCATGTTAAGTGGACACTAAAGGCCTTCACCCAGCAGTCAGCACCGACATGTATTAATCTGGGGGAGTTTGCAGTCACTTGCCAGCAATGCACACAAAAAATCCATGGTGAAATGGTGAAACACAATCATCTGCATGCAATTGTCCCTTTGCTATTTAAAGATGATTAGGTGTGACACTGGGACTGGATCAATTCAAGCCCTGCTGAGTGAAGTCCCTGATTAATGCAACCTCTCCTATCCTGGAACATTTCCAACCACGCAAACCTGCCCCCAGTGCAGAGTTGCAGAGCATGTGGCCCGACAGATATTGTTGAACTGCAATTCCCATCAGCCCTAGCTGTCATAGTCAATGCTGAAGGGACTTGCAGTGTAACAATATCTGGAGGACCACACATTCCCCACCCTTGCTCTAGATGATTTGTTCACACTCATCAAGTGGGGACTGATGTGGTTACTTTCCCACAGTCACATATTACTTATCTCTGGGTCAATTTATATTAATTATGTAGTAAGCTGTACCTCCATTTCTGACATGCTAACAGTATATAAATGCTATTCTGCCTTGTTTTGCCATCTGAAACTTCTGGGATGATGTTCTGCTAAATGTCTATTGGTTCACAACCCCCAGTTAACATTCCTCTGAGGCTAACCCATCTTTATATTTCTAGTCACACTTAAGAGCAGGGATTCAGTATAGTGTTCAGCTCTGTAATTTAAGGGTTTGCCTCTCTCTTCCCCTATCAAGTGCACATGTACTGCTGTTTGTTCTAAAATAGTTGCCTGGAATAAAAAGGCAGCTTTAATCTGGTCACACTTGCACATGCCAATTGTCAGCCCTAGCCAGGCGTTTTCTCTTTGCTTGCCACAGGGCTGCAGGTTTCCCGCAAAACACGGTTGTTTTGATCCAGGATAATAGCAAGTGAGGCTCCAACTCTTTGAAGCCTTTGCAACTAACAACTTGTGGCATTGCTTTCACGTCTTGCTCTGTGTTTTCAGCTGTTTTGCTGGATGGTGGCATGGAACTGTGAGCACCACTGAAAGCCTTGGGACAACAATAATGCTGTTATTACCAGTGAAATATTGCCCATTGCTTTGGAAAACAAATGGGATTTCCTATCCAGTAATAGAACCATTTCACTGGCACCTTGACAATCCTAAAGGAATTCTGTGCACAGACTCTCTAGTGAACCACTTTTTTACCAGCTCTCACATTTCTGATTGGTTAGGACATTTCTGGTTTGTGCAGGACTTACCTCTACAGGCTAATTATGATGTTGAGAAGATGTGCTCCTGGCTCAAGCCCTTATCGTTAAGGTTGAAACCCTAGAATACAAGCTCACTGAATACGGCAATCCTTGTTTCTGAGGAAACAGGCAAAGGGTTGGGCAATACATTTCTCACAGTAGGAATACAGTTGCCTGCAATATGCTCAGGGTGACTGCTTTTTATTTATTTACTTATCAAAAGCATTTCTACGCCATCCTTTACCGAAGTCTCTTTTACAGTGCTTGACTGATCTGAGGGCGGTGCCACAGTATAGCCAGACTGAGTCAATGAGCCCTGCAGAAGGCAACAAGGCTGGATTTACTGGCAATTTAGGTTGCTCTGTTGATTTCAATGCAATTAACAGCTTGTTCTACTCATATTTACTCAGAAGTAGGTCCAATCACTACATTCCATTAGGTATCTTCCTAATAATGGTGTATGAGATTGCTAGCTAAGCCATGAATTTTTAGCTGGCTCCATTTAAGTAACGGTAATAATTTACAATGGGTTCCACTGTGCCTAACACTCTCTCATGGAAATCAATTAGACCTAGAAGCACTTAACTTTGGTGCATTGTGCCTAGCGCGCATCTATAGGTACTTCCAAACTGAAAGCTCTTAGTACTACCTGGTCCCTAAACAGCTTGTAACCAGGTTACCTGAAGGACTGCCTACTCCCATATGTACTTAGCTGTCTGCTAAGATCTGGGTTAAATGTTACTTTTAAAGAACCATCCTCCAAAGAGGTGAAAGGGTTGGCCAATAGGAGAGCCTTTCTGGTGGTTGCACCCCATCTCTGGAATAGACTCCCCAAAGTAGTTTGCCTGGCACCTTCATTACTAGCTTTTCAGTGTCAGGTGAAGACTGTTTTATTTTCCAGATATTTTAATTGATTGCTATTGTTGTTGTTCAGTCACAAAGTCGTGCCTGACTCTTCGTGACCCCATGGACAACATTCCTCCAGGTTCTTGCCCTCCACCATGCCCTGGAGTGCATCCAACCTCACACCCACCTCTCCAGGGACTCCATCCAGTCATCTCAACCTCTGCTGTCCCCTTCTCCTTTTGCTTTCAATCATTCCCAGCATCAGAGTCTTTTCCAATGAGTCCTTTCTTCTCACTAGGTGAAGCCAAAGTATTTGAGCTTCAGCTTTAGTACCTGTCCTTTGAAGAGCAGTCAGGGTTTATTTTCTTTAGGATTGATTGATCTCTTTGAAGTCCAAGGGATGCTATATATGTGTGTCTGTGTGAATTTTAATTGATGATTTTATGCTACTATCTTTAGTTGAATCTAATACCATCTTTAGTTGAATGTATGGTGATGTCTATATTGTATCACTGTATGTAGTTGATTTTATAGTGGAATTTTACACTGCCTGGGGAGCCCATATAGGGCTATAGGCATAGTTTATAAATTTAATAAATAATCAATTAAAAGCATATACTAATAAAAATACTCCATCTTCTCCAGCTTTTCTTTCTTAATGTAATTTTTTATGAAAAGAAGAAACGGTGGGAAAATAATGAAGGGTTACGAGTGGAAGGTGACAATATCTGAGTCCCCCCATAAAATTCTGTGAATGAATTATGTTAATTATATGATGGAAATCATGTCCAGCACTGACACACCCCCACTACTGATACAGATCCGCAGTGCCCATACAGCATCTGGTCAGTTTCTTCTCTGGATCACTTTCATCCCATCTAACACTTTCCTAAGCTGCTTCTTCCCATGCAGGTTTACTGTGAAGTAAAACCCACTTTCTTCAATGGGTCATACTTGCAAGTAGGTACATAAGATCGCAGAGTAAGTGTGACATGAAACCCACATTCCTCAACCTGCTATAAGGGGCTTGGGGACAAAATTGAGGAGAGGGATCCTTTCCACTGACCCACCCAGCCATTGTGGCCTTCTGATGATTAGGGACTGCACTTTTTTTTAAAGATAGATCTTGAGTTTCCTCCAGCCTAATTACAAGGCAAAAGGCCTCATCTCCCTCTCTCCTTAAACATTCCCAGATGCTGACTTAAAACTTGGAGTTCTGGAACTTTTTTTCTATATCAGTGTTGGTTTGGGATTCCTGGAATTTCTCAGGGATTCTTGGAATCTCATCAAGGGAGAAACTAGTGTTTTAATGCCTTGTACAGAAACATGAAACTCTTTGGATGGGAGAAAGAAAGCAGATGGCACATTAAATGAAGTGTGTTAGCTGCAGTTCTGCTTTTTGATGAACCAGGAAAATAAATTTGAGATCCTGAACCTTTAAAATGCTTCTAAATTGTGGCTAAGCAACTTAGTAGCTTTCAGATCTTTCAGACTGCAACTCCCATCAGCCTCAACCAGCATGGGCAATGCTCATGGGAGTTTTAGTCTGAATGATCTGGAAGGCACTGTGTTGCCTACTTTTGCTCAAAACACAGAGAACAATTCTGAAAAGACAAATTCAATCAAAAGAAATGTTATTAATTCTACCTACGTGATCTAGTCATAGGGTGGCAAGATGGAAAAGAGGCCAGAGCTCCTGCTTCTTCAATAGCTGTGAAGATGGAGTGTCAGCCAGTGTAGCTCGTTATGCAATTAAATACCTGGTCCCCATGCACTGAGATGATGGAAACATTCCTGCTCTGCTGATGGCATTGGAAATCCCATTAGTAATAATCAAAAACATTGGATGGGCCTTATGCCAGGTCAGAATATATATGCTCAGTCTTATTCCTACTGACTTTCTTAGTGGCTCTCCAAGATTCCAGACTGGAGTCTTTCCCAGCCCAACCCAGAACATTCTCAAGGGAAACAGGAGCTCTGCCACTGGGAAATAGTGTCAGTCCTGAAAAGATACTTGAGGCTGGCTTTGGCATACTAGATGATACACGGAGAAGGTAAAATACCAGCCACAGTGGCAAATGCCACATGGGTGCCTGGAGAATACCATTTGCTGGAAGCCCCTGCTTAGACGCAAGCCACAGTGGGACACGAGTGTCAGTGAGCAAGTAGCAAAAAGGTTGGATCATTTAGCTTCTGGATGTAGTCTTTCCAGAAGAATCACTGGGGTGGGGAATATCGTAGAGTACTCAGTAGCAAGAGCAGCGTCAATCAAAGGGTTCTGTTACAACTGCTATCCAAAGAATGTGCACTTGCTTTTAAAACATATGATGTAGGAGGAGCTGGGGTGTTTTATTTAATTACTGAGGGGCTCTGAAGAGGATATGGAGAATCAGACAGGCATCTGTAGGAAAGGTGATCTTTCAGGTAACCTGGTCCCATGGGGTAGAGGGTATTGATCAAAGTTTTGTATTAGAAATGGACTGGAAGCACAAGCAGAATGTGGTCAAACTATCTAATCACAGGATGTAATCTGACAGTCTTATTTCGAACTGAAAACAGATTCTGAAACATTTTAAATGCAGCCACATGTATGAGGCAATGCAGTCGTCTGAATGGGAAGCCACCAGAGCTGCTCCCACCCATTCTTCTTAGTCTATCATAACAGGGAGAATTCCAGGTATCTGCACAGCAGGTGAAGAAAGGAAATACAAGACAGCAACACTAGAAAGAACAGGCAAGGGATGCTGCGACTGCCCATTTTTTGTGCTGGAAAATGTACAAGGAGCATGCACTTTTCCTCCACTGCAACTGGGCAGCTCCAGTTCCATGTGTTTGCAGTCCAGTCTTAGCAGACCATGGAACCCAGATTATATCAAGCTGCACCTATCATTAATTCAAGCCACACTGGTTAGGGATCATAGGAGCTGTATCTCAAAATCTGTGAACCCAGGACTGATTTACACAGTCCTAGCCAGGGCAGCTAGCTGGCAAGGCCATGCACACAGCTATCGATTCCTGCCTTCCCCAACCTGGTGCCATCTAGATGTTTTGCATTTCAAGTCCCATTGGTCCCAGCCAGCACGGCCAGTGGTCAAGAATGGTGGGAGCTGGAATCTAAGACACATGGGGGATAGCAGACTGGGGAAGGCTGAGCAATACCCTCAAATGCTCATTTTCCCCCTCAGCATGCCTCTTTTCTCCGCTTGAACCTGTGGTTTTGATGCCATCATGTGGTTGTTTTGTTGACTTTCACAGGCTAAAACTAGAAACAAGCTACACCTCCCAAGTTCCTTTAAATACTCCTCTACCTTCACCCATATGGGCTTCTGTAGCCGCAGGATGTACCCCAGACAGTAGTCCATTGTTTGGAAAGAATGAATGTGTTTCTTTTTTAACACTGAAGGATCCTATTTAACACTTTACAGAGATTCTAGAACTCACAGATGCCTTTTCTCTGCCCAATAAAGACCCTTTTCCTTTCTTTGGATATGGCCCAGCCATTACTTTTCAAAAAGAACATCAGGGTGAGGAGAACGTGTGAAATTGGTGAAGGAACCGAATGCAGAAGATAAAAGTGATAAGCTTCAGGAGAGCCTCCCCTTCTAATGAGTAACCACAAACCAATCCTGGTGTTAAGAAGCTAACCTTTCAGATTGGAGAGTGTGATTTCCAGGTGGGATTCAACTTTGGCACCTTGTCTGGAGAAATTTAACACTACCAAAGTGGACAGCAGAACCGACACACACTTCTGTCAGGGCCATCTCACATCACCTGAATGCAGCCTACAGGGCTTCCAAATATAGATTCTGCCCAAGCATGTCTCTTACTAAGCAAGGCTAGGCTCACCTAACAAGGTTTCTCATCAGAACCTAATTGCTGCACAGTGTTATGGCACATTTGAATTTCATTTGCTAAAGGTGTCTGGTAGCAGCAATGTCTAATATCAGGTGGAAGTTTATTCCATAGTAGGTGCCACCATGCTAAATGCCCTGCTCTGAGCCTCTGAACATGTGTCCTCAGAAGATGACCTCAAGGACCAGATTGGTCTCTTGGATAACCAAGTCTCAAATTGTTTAGGGCATGATATACTGGAAAGAAAACCTTCTACCTGGCTTGGCATTAGATAAGTGGGAAGTGCCATAAGATGCTGCTAGAAGGTTACTGAAAGCATTCCTTATCAGCTTAAGTTTCCAAAATAGCCTCAAGGGCAGGTCCTATGGAAAGAGCTTTTCAATAATTCAACCCTGAGGTTACCAATGCCTGGACCATGGTGACCAAGTTATCATGAATAGCTGCAGATGATGTATTAGCCAAAACTGATAAAAAGTACTCCATGCCACTGCAGCCACCTGGGCTTTGTGGCTGAGATGGATCCAGAGGTAGTCCCAGACAGAGGCTGAACCTTTCAAAACCTACCCAATGGTCTGAAAGGAAGCTTCATCGTCAATGAAGTGTTGGTGGAGAACTTCAAACCAAGTCCCATTTGAACAAGTTGTTTATTTTGGGTGCGCCAAAAATTCAGACTCCTTCATGATACTGAACATTAACAGAGAACAAAGCTCTGAAATACTGATCATTGCCATCATCTTCTGATCAGTAAGGATATGTAGTTTTAGTACTTGCCATGAAAATAAAAACAAAACTAGGCTTAAAATTGTCTCTGGATCCAACCACCAGCTGTCAGGAAGGAGACACTTTGTCCTGAAATGGGAGAAAGAAGGCATATAAGTTGGGTCCTCCAAACTAACAATTCTTTCCAAGATAAGCATCTTTTTCATCTTCTGTGTAGATGCAGAACCTTTCCCAACTTGGGGTCTTCCAGATGTTTTGGAAAGTAAGTCCCAGCATTCCTGATCTCCTGTCCAAAACAGCTGGGGGGGGCACCAAGTTAAAGGAAGGCCAGTAAGTTTTAAGGGGTAGCAACTTGCTCCAACTATGTTGAACTCTCCTCCAGGTCTAAATTTTTGGAATATTTGGCTTGGTTGGAAGTCAAACAGAGGCTGTTTCTAAAAATAAGCACAGTCCTCTGCAAGCAGTTTTCTTGTGTCATTGCAACAGCAGTTTCAACTGAGTACACTTTGCCAAGGACAATAGTTTCCAGTTATCTATACTGTTCTTTGTTTTGTTTGCTTTTGCAGGAGTCCCACTGGGACAATCCTCTGCCTGGTCCTCAGAACAGCCATTCAAGACACAAGGGTCAAAGGAAAGAGCATCCTGCATTTTATTCTTGGTCCCTAACTCTTTACACCCATGCACGTGCTTGGGAGTTTGAGAAACTGCTGTGGACACTAACACAAAATGCCCAGTCAGTGGATCTGCATTTTGCTCTTATGTTTATGGAGCTTAGGCAACACCTTATTCAGCAAAAACTTTCATGTCCATCGGACACCACAATGTCTTCTACATAATGGATTGTCTAATTTGGCTAATGATGGCAGGGTAATACAGTTCATGCTTTTTAAAAAGTTACGTTTTGGCAAAGTCTGGTAGTTTCTTCTCTTTGGAGGGAGTTTATTTCACAGATAAATTATATATTGAAACAATCTTTAATATGCATTGATGTACATACATGCTCTTTTAAATTATGTAGCTGCTTCATAGAAATTGACAAATATTCAACATAAATGGATTCTCTGTGCCCTTTTGAAGCTACAAGACCAATATTATAGCATTGGAAAGCTAAACACTCACCTCTTATAATTCAATGGATTGAGGACCTTACAAAGGACCTTTCGATCTTTGAACAGGTGGCATATAGATTCCACCTTCAAATAGGTATTTCTTGAGTATTTGGCCTGCTTTTGCTGAAGCCTATGTATAACTGCTAGAAGGATCTATGCATTTCATATGAATTAATGAATGCATATTTTTAAATGGAAAAAATGCATAGTTTTGAGGATGGCACTCCTCCACAGAAGGGGAATGTTGCTATCCCAGCTACAGATCGCAATCCCGTACCTTCATTTAAGGGAAGGTGTTCCCCTGTTCCTGCCAGCACAGCCTCCAGACTAGCTGACTCAGGGTCAGAGGAGGATTTTGTCACTTTGATGGTGACCTTTTCTTTAGTGAGTGTGAATTCCAGCTTGCTTCCTAAGTAGCACACACCGGTGATCTTGAGCATCTTTATGTCATCGGGACAAACAGGGTCAAAGTTAAGGCACTTCTTGGTGATCCTAGGAGTGGTGGAAATGGATCAATAAGCAAGATAATACATGCTATGGATGATCAGGGTGTCTGTTAGGGTGCCTCTTGAGCTCTGCGTGAGAAGGGCAGGACAGACCACAGGCACTTGCCTGGCACAGTGTGCCCTGGATTGCCACCCCTCAAGGCATCCTTTGTATATCTGACCAGCCATCGCTGAGAGCAGGCTAGTTGCAGCCAGAGCTCAGCGGCAGAGCACATCCGATTCTCCCCCACCGCCTCTGCCCTCTGATCTTCTGCAGCAGGGCTGGAAACACCTCAGGCCAAGACATTTGGTCACATTGGACAGTTCTGAGCTAGAAGGACCCACATTTCTAACAGCAGAATTATTACTGTGCTATGAATGCACCATTTGATTCATGTATTTGTTACCTGTGGGCAATGCAGTGTGTCAGGCTAACAAAGGGAGATAGCTATTTGGAAGAAGAAGCAAAGAGTTTATTGAAAAAACAGTGTGCAACTGTTTCGAACAAAGCCAAGCAAGCAACAGTTATAACAAGACCATTCCACAGGATCCAGCTGGCCAGCCCTGAGCGCCACTCAGTCCTGCACAGAGCCTTATGTGCATGTGGGTGCTCCCTGTACATATGTCACGCATGTGCTGCTTTCAAACCATGCTCTCCTTTATTTAAAAATTATTATTAGTAGTAGTAGTAATAGCATATTTAATCAAAATGTGGTGTTTTGCAAAGCCAAGCAAAGGCCTCTGCTGTTCAGCTTACAACTGCAAAGTTATGCCAGGGTCTGTCCTTGGTTGTTCTTAAGAACATAAGATGAGCCCTGCTGCATCACACCGAGGTGCATCTAGTCCAGCATTGTGTTCACATCATGGCTGCCCATGGGAAACTCACGCACAGGACATGCATGCAACACTATCCTTCCAGCCACACTTTCCAGCAACTGGCCTTGGGAGCCACTCTGCTTCTGATGCTGGAGGAAGCACAGAGCCTTCAGAACTGGTAGCCACTGCTGGCCTTAGCCCCATGAATTTTCTTCATCTCTTTTAAAGCCATCCACAGTGGTAGTTCTCACTACATGTTGGGGCAGCACATGCCACACCTTAACCATGAACTGTGCGAAGGTATCTGTCCTGTCCTGATTCTTACTCTCAAGATAAATATTCTCTTATTCTCAAGTTACACAATTTTTAGATCAGGCATGGGGAACGTGCAGCTCTCCAGATGTTGCTGGACAGCAGCTCCATCATCCTCACCACTGGGTGGCTGTGACCAACAGGAGCTGCCATTCAACTGTACCTGGAGACTCGCACATGTCCTGCCCCTGATTTGGGCTGCATCCAGTCTGCACAGTCCAAGCTGACATTTGAATTCACCGAGGCATGTGAAAGAGAGTACAAGGCTGCCTAGGCGAAGGCAGGAAGAGATCGCCCTCCCCATCCTCCATGGGGGAAGCCTGCTGAAGTAGTGAGCCAGTTGGGTGAGCCAGCGGAGATCAGCACAGGCATCAGAAGAAGTCAGCCAAAAAGGACTGTGAAAATCCCAAACCCAGCAACTTGGCAGTGCTCCAGCAGGGCTACCGAGGTCAACATTTTTACATATGTTATTCCATTACTTTCCCTCTAAAAATATTCACCTTTCTTATGACAACTACCCTCAGCCTTTCTAAAATAAACAAACATTTAATAAATATTCTCACTGTAACACATACACAAACTTCCTTGCAATATTTCTTGGACTCCCAGGCACAGAGGAAACAGGAAGCTGGGGGCAGTGGCAAGTGGAGGACAGAGTGAGACCCATCCTCAGGGAGACACTTCTGTACTTCTTCACGCATCACCCTGAAGAACTCTCTGTACTGGGTCTATTTTGGGTGCCTGAGATATTTCTTCTTCTTCTCAACCTAGAGGTGGTGTTGTGGTTATTTCTGTCTCTGGCACCAAAGGTTCCATGTCACTGCAGTATTGACACACCTGCCTTCTGCTTGCTGTTGGGGAACAAACGTGGGTGGCTATAACCACGTTTCCCACACATACAGTTTTCAAATAAATCAAAGACCCCCTCACATTAGAAGAAGGGCTCTGCTCTTCTTCCAACCTTGGGCCCCAAGGTTAGATCTTCCAAACTAAGATCACATTACTCCAGAGACAAAAGCCCTTCCTGGCAAGGCGCTGCTGCTGTTCACTCATGAACACAGCATGAAAATCACATGGGGGACAAACATGCTTCAAGTGGCTGTGCAGGCTTTACAATGGGGCTGGGGAGCATTTCTACTAGAGGGCTGGGATGCTGCCTGGAGAACCAGCCAGAGAAGGTATGCCAGCAGTTCCTGTGGCCAGAGACCAAACTAGGCATGTCCGTCACATTCACACTCACACACCCCATCCATCCATCCATCCACACATATAAACACTCCTTAAAGGCCTTCCACTCCTCAGTTGCTCCATTTTCCTTGCTCAGTGCTGAAGGGAACCCTTTCTCAAAATGAAGCAGGGGAAAGGACTTATCTTCAATAACCTGCTGAATGGAGATAAGATCTTTTGATTAGAAAGAGGTGGCAGGAACTGGGAAAGAAGCTGGTGGGCCAGATGGGGAACCAGTGTAGGTTTCTCATGCCTGGTTTACAGGAGCCAAAGTCTGCCCATGAACAAATCCACTAAAAGTGCTTCTCTAAAACCATTCCAGTCCATTAATGCTCTTTGCTCATTTGCCATCACACCTGGGTCCTTCATCCTTGCTTAATGACATTAACAATGTGGCAGGACCAGGAGAATAGGGATGCACCCTTCCTGATTCCTGTGACCAAGGCACCAGGTAGACTCCAGGTGCTATTGGTGATCCAGGTTCCTGATTTATAGAGTACCTTTTTAAAAGAAGCAGTATATTGGGATTGACTGGAAGACAGTTTAATGAAGTTAGTATGAATTGCCAACAATGTCCAGTACAGCCTTCTAAAGTAGAAGCATTAGACTAGGGAGTTTTCAAACCTGTCTGCCCATGAAAAAAAAACTTGTGGTCTGGAAAGGACTTCAACTGATAAACAGGTATTGCTCCTGTCCTATACAAAATTAATTAGATAAGGGCTAGCAGGGACACCTGAGTCATCTCTATCCCCACTCATTTTCCCTCTAGCTGACAGCTTTGAGTGCTTCCTAGAAAGCAGAGAACATCCATACAACATCCATAACACTGCTAGACAGAATTGACTTTCTACTTGGGACCAGGAGCACCCAGGTGTCCAGGCAACTCAGTGCCCTGCGGTGGCATCCATTGTATCAGGAAGTGCTATGAAATGTGTGTAAGCCATGCTTTGTTTGCTTATTGATAATCTGAGTTTATAGTCTATCAATACAACTTTAGTCAATAAAGCACTTGTCACCTATAACACAAGTAGTTTTGTTTCTTCCTAAGTGAAGTAGGGAGTCTTGGCTGGACCAAGCCCTGGGAGTTAATTCAAACTGCCACCCTCTTTATTCCCATGGATTTCATGGCACATATTAATGCAGTTTGTACCTGAAACCAGTGTATCCAAAGAGGATGGCTTGCAGAAAACCACCCATCCCTGTCAGGAAGTTCACAGCTCCTGATCCATCTGAGTTCTCCACCCAGATCTGCAGAAGTTGGGGGAAAAGGATGGGTTGAAGCATATTATAGCAAAGGGGCACAGTGAGGAAATGTCAACAGGAAAATAGAAGTTTCCACCTGCCTGACCTTGAATGGCTCAGTGATGTTGCTGAAACACTTGTTCAGCTGCTGTTGTGCTTTCTCAGTCTCCTTCAACTCCAGCCAGCCAATAGCAAACATACTCTAGTGGTGGGCAGGGCAGGGCAAGCGGGGGAGAGAGAGCAATCCAATTATGAACAGACTAAGCTGGTGGCTCAGTCAGACGGGGATGCCCAGTGGCAAACCTGTGCAGGACTCCCCCCCCCCCCCCCCAAAACCAGCAGGTTTCCTCTGTTCCCCCTCAAGGCCAGTGCTTTACCCAGGTCATGGCTGGCCCCTGAGGGTCAGTCACAGGTTCATACAGTTCTAGGTCATTCCTCCTGACTTCTGGATCCATGGGAAACATGAAAGGAAATCCAAGCAAGACAACATCAGCCTGTTTCACCTGCTCACCTGGGGAAAGAACACAGGGGCAAAGCATATGGATGACCTAGAAATGTGTGCTTGAGGGAGAGGAAATGGACTCTCACATCTATTACCAAGTGGACTGTAGAAGCAACCATATTCCTATTACAATGTTCAGCAGTTGCCACAGTCTGTCTACATCACAAGAACAGCCAAACCTCTATGCTGAATTTCTACTGACTGTGCACCTAGGAGCCCAGCCAGGAATAAAAGCTGGGAACTTGAGAAAAAGACTTGCAGGTATTCTAATCCCATGTTCGTTTCTGCCATTTTCAGCCAGGTTTGGGAAAAACTCCTGTCTGAAACCCTACACTGCCACTAAGCGTAAAGACAGAAAGGCCTGTCTTGATATAGAACAGTTTCTATGTTTCCCACTCTACCCACTGCTAGTCTAAGGTTTTGTAGAATGAGGTTTTGCCAGGATCTTTCTCAGAAACACAAGGTCTTCTAAATACACTGGGAGTCTCCAGATCTTGGTACACAGAACCCCTTTCCTACCCATACCCATTTGATACCCTACACATTTGCATGCAGGGACTCACTTTACCAATAGGATGGGTGCTGTCATCATACCATGAACAAGTGGTACACAGGGTTAGATGCTCAAATGTCCTGAATCTACATACCTGGACAATACCCATCATATTCAGGGTGGTAGTTCCTGCTTTGATCAAAAGGCACTTTCATTTTCATTGCAACTTCCTTCCACTCTTCAGGGATGGGAATATGCAGCTGGGAGCCCAAGTCAATTGCAAAATTCAAGCTGGGAAGGAACAGAACTGCTTTAAATGCCCATAAAAATCTGTGCGGAGAGTTTTCAAGATTGTATGTTTCAGGCCCATGGAGGAAGACATTCAACATGAATAGACATGTACATTCTGGTGCATGCATTCTGTAGCTGCCATTTTCCAAAATGATGGACACACAAATGGGGATATGCAGTAACTCATGAGCAGGTGCATGTCATTCATTCTGGTGTCAAAACATCATGTTCTTACAAGTCAGGATGGTAGAAAAGCTACCTCTGTTGGCCACTGCCACAACCAGTATGGTTTACTGGATAAGTGATAAGGATAACAAGAATCAAGGGAGGGGCATGTACACCACCCCAAGTTCTTTTCAAGAAGATGCAATTAAAATGGTATTTATTTAATAACCACTGAATCAGAAAGAATGTTCAAGCCACAGCATGCAGTTTTGACTGACAAATGCAAGCAAATTTTAAGAGGTCTGTAGAGGTAATAATCAATATTGGTAGTTAAGTCTCCTGGCTCACTTCATATACTTTTAGTTTAGTTTGTTCTTGGGCTATTTGGACTAGTTTTTGGAGCAGCCTGAAATTTTTCTATTACTACATCATTTGAATACTGTTTAATCCTTATCTCTTTGTCTTTAAGAAAACAATTGATGCTATTTTGTACAGTGTATACTTCATGATGGTTTATATTTTTATTTTCAAGCTGTTTATGGAAGACAATGCAGACATTTTTACAGAAATACAATTAAGGAACAATCCTATGCAAGTTTAGACAGAGAAACAACCTATAACTTTTGTAGGCCTTTTGTTTCTGTCTAAACAGAGATAGGCTTACTTGCCTGCATTATGAAGCCAGAAGAAGGCAGGTACCAAAAGAGACTGGAGAATAAGCCCCAGTGATTCCAAGAGTCTCTTACCTCTTCTGGGCAACAGCATTGGTACAAACAGAGTTATCTACTGCACAGTGATATTCATCTGGGGGCAGGACACCTAAGAGAAGGCAGACACTTCAGAACATGGGAGAACACTCTACCTTCTACCCTTGGTCAGGAACAGCCATAAGAAATGAGCAGAACTAAACAGCATTCCAAAGTTGAGCTAAGAGCTAGAGAGAGAGAGATCGATCACTGGTATTTGATCTGGGAATTGTACATGTAACATATGAGGAAAGCTGGTGGCAGAAGGCACCTGCTTCTCTTTGTGGGTATGCCTCTTTACACTCTGAGAAAGAAATGAATTCTGACACCCCCAGGATGCCATTTGCAGATTATCCTGCACACTTCCACATGCATATAATACAAAATGCAAACGTGGGCTGGTCCTTGCTGCTAGGCAGGGAGAGTGGCTGACTCAGCCAAAAATATTCCATATTATTATCTTTTTTGCAAGGAACCCAAGGTGGCTTACAAGATTCTCCTCTTCTCCATTTTATCCTCCCAACAAGAGCCTGAGGTAGGTTAAGCTGGAAGGCAGTAAGTGGCCCAAACTCACCCAGTGAGCTTTCATGGTTGAGTGGGGACTAGACTTGCATCTCCCAAGTCCTTGTCTAGCATGGTAACCGCTACACCACCCTGGCTTTTGTAGGAGAAACTCACCGCCGTAGCAACCGGGGAAGAAGCAAGAAAAGCAGCACAGCCACCTTGCTTTCTGTCAGTAGATTACAGGAAGAGGCAAGGGAACCAAGGAGAACCATCCTCCCTCCACATAAGAGGCTGGTGTAAGGATGGTGATTCAATACAATGGCAACACACAAAAGTAGAATATAAATATCTAATAAAACCAACATTAAAAAGACAATTAATCCTTAAAATATTGGGAAAATAAAAAGGGGTTGGCCTGGCGCCAAAATGAATAAAGGGTTGGTGCCAGGCACACCTCTCTGAGGAGCAGGTTCCAGAGCTGAGGTGCCACTGCAGAAAAGGCCCTACTTGTTCTAGCCATTCTTCTAATCACCTTCAAAGCGGATTCCCTAAGAAGGACCTCAGACAAAGATCTTGGGGATTGGGCAGGTATATACGGAAGGAGATGCTCCTTCAGATACCTAGGTCCTAACCTGTTTATGATAGTGAAATGCAAAGCCCAGTACATGTCTAAATGGACGTGATGCACCTGGACGATGAAAACTTATGAAATGCGTGTGAAAGATTCCTCCCTTGCAACATACCATTAATGTTGTACTTCTGCTCTTCCGAGTTCCATACCACCCGGCTACACCAGTATTGAGCGACAGCCTGGACCACATCCCAGCCTCCTTCCTGCTCAAAGAGCTTCAAGTCCTAGAACCACAAGGGGAAGCAGAGGCTCAATGGGTCATCTGGCCCAGCTTCCTGTCCCAGAAATGCATAACACAGTTTAGGGCAGGGGTGGACAAACTTCTTTCTGCCAAGGGCTGCATTCCCAATGGGAATCTGCTGGGGGCCAAAACCAGTGGTGGGGGCAGCCAGAACCAAGGGTAGGCGGACCATCTTTACCGTTTTTCTGCACTCCCCTTTCTCCCTCTCCCCCCCCCCCCAACACAGTGGACTGACAGGAAAAGGACAGATCACTCTCAGCAGAAGTCTGAACTGTATGGTCAGAATTTGGAATAAATATAGGGACATATTTATCTCATTAATTTTGCTGTTATATCCAATTAGGGAATTAGAAAGATTCCAGAGAATTTGAGGAGTAGTTAGAGGGAAGGACTGAGGAATAAACATGTTATTAGGTTGAAAGACTGGTTAGAGAAAATAAAGAGTAAAGAAATGATACAAGCAATACTAGGATAGGGTAAAGTAACTTGGTATAATATACTTCAGTTAGATCATTGGACTAAAGATTGGTTGAAGAAAAATGGTAGAGAATATACTAAATTTGAAAATATAATTTTACAGAAAGAAAAACAAGATATTATGCAAGTGAAAGGAATGACAAGTAAAATTTACAACATTTTACTAGAAGGGAAGAACTGATATGTTCCTCTTAAAGAGTCTTGGGAAATAGATTTAAAAAGAAATATTAGTACTGAAGAAAGGAATAATATGTGGGATAAGAGAATTTTAACATTTATACCAATAAAAATTAAAGACAATTTTTATAAATTGGTTTGGAAATGGTACTTAACTCCAGTTAAATTGAATTAAATGAATAATGAATATTCCAGTGCATGTTGGAGATGCAACTGGGTAGTAGGTACATATTTCAATATGTAGTTGGAGTTCACATATATTAATGAGTTTTGGGAAGTGGTTTTTTATTTATTTTTATTTTTCAATTTATATCCTGCCTTTTTCCTCAAAGGACTCAAGGCAGCTTACATCATTCTCCTCCTCCATCTTATCCCCACAACAACCCTGTGAGGTAGGTTGGGCTGAGAGTCTGTGACTGGCCCAAAGTCACCCAGTTGGCTCCATGACCAAGTACGGACTCGAACCCAGATCATCTGAGTTCCAGTCCCATGCTCTTAACCACTACACCACACTGGCTCTTTCACACTGGTTTTCAAAGAAATTAGTAAAATATAGACTTTAAACATTGAGGCTGACCCTGAAATAGCATTATTGTCATTATTTAGAGAACAAGTGGGACAAATATTAAAGAACTGATCACAAAATTATTAACAGCAGTAAGATTAGTAATAGCAAGGCATTGGAAAATAAAAGGTGATTATCAAACAGATGACAGATATAAAGAAGTCTGGAATATAGCTATTAATGATAAGTTAACTTGTGATATTAAATGAAAAAAGGTTTGATAAGTAAAAATAATTTTGAAAATATTTGGATACTGTTTATTATATGATCAATAAAAGGAAATGGGTGTAAAGCATCACAAGAGTCAATGCAGTTCTGGAAGGGAATTGGGAGAGGAGCAACCTGAATAAATGATCTTACATTAAGTAACATGATTTGTTGCTCCTGGTGGAGGTAGCACTGTTATTATTTTATCATGTTTATTTGTATTATTTAATTATTTTTATTACTACTATATCAATTGCATTGTTTATGTTTGTTCAATTAATAATTCTTTAACATTTTTTAAAGAAGTCTGAAATGATCACACATGGCTTTGGAAATCAGATGGAGGGCTTGCGTGTGGTTCTATGGCTACTACTCCAGTTTAGGGGGAAAAGAAAAGGGGAAGCATGAAGAGAGAAATCTGAGAGGTGAATAACAGAGTAAGACATATCACCCGGAATGAGAAATAGAATAACAGCCTGAGTGGTGTAATTGTCTTAAATATTGGAAGCAGGTTCTTGAGGCCTGAAAAGATGCTGGCCTCAAGCCTGTAACTTCATAAAAGGCAGGCCATTACCTCTGTGATGTAGTAGTATTGCTCAAATGCTAGTATAACATCTCCGTTGATGTGAATTTCTTCATCTCCATAGATTTTCTCAGGACAGACCTCTTGACCTGTTGCTGCGCTTTCCCAGGGGAACTTTGCGCCCTGTCACGATCAAATCCAAGAGGAAAAACACCCATGTTGATCAGCAAGAGCACAGGTGATAATTCCAATATTGATTTTCCACTCATGCAGTTAATTTGAAACCCAGGATGATGTGGCCCTGGGATGGGCAGCTTTTCACTGTATACTCTTAAAGATCATGGCCTACTCTGCATAATCCCTTTTATGCTAATTAGACTGCTCCAATAATTCATAGCACTACTATAGGAATCGCTAGTAATGAAGGCTAGATGATAGTTATGAGGAGTAGAGTTAAGCTCTACTATAGCAGGAAGATAGGATTTGTGTGGGCACTTTGATTCTATATACGGTGCAAGTGGCAGATGCTATCCTGCTTATTCTGTTGTGCTCGTATGAAACAGAAGATGTCATACGATAACCACAGTTAGAGTGTAATGACAACATGGGTGCTTTTCCTCTATAATGCCGCATGAGCACTTTGGTGTGGGCATTCTTATCATGGTTCTCCCATTTCACTGACTTACCATCCGTGTACTGAGACTGAAATTAATATTAAAGCTCCACAACGTATGTTGACTTTCAGAAAAGCTGATGTTATGCACTGAATTCAGGTATTATTATTTGTGCAACCATCACTACAATGCTTCCAGTGGAATTCTGGTAGACAAAAAGTTTATGCCTATTTGGGGCATTTAGCAAGTTGGTTCCTCAGAATCATTAAATGATCTTGGAAACCATGAGTTAGTAACATAGTATGGGTGCTTTATTGCCATGTTTTAAAAAACAAGACTTCAGGATACACTGACTGTATTTTCCATTTATTCTCACAACATGGGGATTAAAAACTTATCCAAGTTAAGTTCCAAGACTCTCAAGCAGGCCACATCCTGGCCCCTGGCGTAGACAATTAAAATTAAGGAATGTCAGACAAAGCAAGAAATCCACATGAATCTTTCCTCTGCTCAATGCCTCGGCATACTTCCAAAAGTTATTTTCAGGCTAGGTGAATTTGCCTGTTTTAATCTCACTTAAAGATTACCTGTTCCTACTTCTGGACTGCTATGCTTGCTCAGAAGCAGAGAGGCACACCCCGTTCACCTAGGTGGTCTTCAGACTTCTTCTCAGGCAGACCTAAAACTGTCCCCTTCAGGCAGAGCTAACTAAGCTGAGATTGACCTAGCCACCCCACTCCTTCCACTTTGAATGCTCTTTTAGAGGGTAAGAAGTGGAGAGATTTTAATTATCCACTGCTGATTTCGTTTATTCATCTATTTTTTAAAGGTTAGAAAGTAAAAGAAAGCCAACAGGCAACTCTTCATAGTCCCTGCTGGACAGAGGCCTTCCTCACAAAACTTTAATGAAGAGGGTTCCTTCTGCAGGGGTGGGTGGATCAAGTAGCTTTCTACATCTCTTTCTGTCCTGCACATGTTGCATCTACCTTGTATCCTTGCTCCTGTGCGTTGTGCAGAGCTCCTCCTAGTGTTCGGATCCGGTATTTCAGGACAGCACGAGCAGCTTCTGGATAAAACAGCAAAATGCCTGGGTAGATCCAGGTATCCTAAATTTGACAACAGCAGCAATCAAACAACACATATAAATATTGCTATTAGGTGAAAACAGGATGGCTAACAGGTGAGGCATGCAGGACTAAACTTGCCCTATGCATATTCCTATGAAGACCTCTCTTTTTTGACTGCTAATCTGATCACAAGATCGATCCCGTATCAGCTATCATAAGAACATCAGGAAAGCCGTGTGGGATCAGATAAAACTATCCAGTCCAGCATTCTGTTCCTGTGGTGGCCAGCCAGATGCTGTGGCACTCCCAGAACTGGGACACAAAGGCAAGACTGTCTTCTGCTGCTGCAGCTCTTGAGCAACTGGGACGGTGAGCAAGGCGCCCTGCCTTGGACACCGGCAGCAATGGATAGTCTTCACAAATCGATCACTTCCCGTTCACAAAACATCTAAGGTAGGCATCACTACACCCTGTGGTAGCACTATCCAGAGTTCAGCAACATGCTGTGCGAGGTGATGTACTTCTTTCTCCGGTTCCCTTTCTCTCAAAGACCCTGGAAACACAAATGCTGTAGGAACCCCCCACAAGCCTGAAGCGCTCCCTCCAAAGGAGTCAGGGAGTGCTTTTGGTACAGTGGCATTTATAGGGTAACGGGGCAGCATGAGCATCTCTATGCCTGCTCATCTCTTCCTGAAGCCCACAGGTGGAGCGTGTTGGGGTCAGAAACCAGAATGGATTGTTACTGTGTTGGCATTCCCCTCTCACGGTGAGAGGTTGACGAGCAAAGCTCCATCTGCAATAAGGGAATCATAGAACTGGAAGAGAGCTCAGAGTTCATTCAGTCCAACTCCTTGCTCAGGGCGTATTCTACACAGTGCAGCTACAGGATCGCTGACAGAGGGACATCTGGAAAGGAGGGTTCTTTCTGGTGTTGGGAGAGGGGAAAAAAGGGAATTTGGAGCAGAGGCACTATCCCTCCATAGTTTCTTCTACATTTCAGAGACAAGGTTGCCCTTGTTGATCCTGTGTTTCTCAGGAGGCAGAATGCTCCACATCCTTCTACCCAGGAATGGAGCTCCTCTGTCAGCTAAATAATGAGATAAAAGGGGAGGGGGCGGAATCTGTGTGTCAGTGATGCCGTTTCATCCACCTGATGAAGCAGCCAGCAGTCTGTCAAAACTTAGATCAATTTATACCAGTGTATGGGGCTGTTTATTCAGAGGGAGGAAGACTAGCCAAAGGGAAGTATAGGCAGGTACACAGTTAAGTCTTTTATCAACTATGCAAAAAATATGCCCAGTGTATGCCCTGTACTGATGTACAAGCCTAGAAGGGAGCCATAGCATAGTGAGATAGCACATGCTTTGCAACAGGGAGGTTCCAGCTTCAATCTAGGGTATCACTAGTTATAAGGATCTCAGGATATAAATAAGAAGCAGCTCTGCTCAATATCTTGGAGATGGTGACTGAGAAGGACTAATGGTCCAGGGCCTATTCATATGTTCTCTGCAATGACAGAGCAGAGGCATCATTAGCACCAACCACATTCAAACCCTACCAAACCCCGTGTGCAGTGGGAGGGAGGGACTGGTCATGAAGCAAACTAAGATGGCGGATGCAGAAGAATCCATACTACCTTATGCTGTATGCATGTATGATGAACTTGTACATCATAACTATGCAGCCCAGGCTGGTGGGAAACTGGTGAGGCTGCAGTGCCTTTGGCTCACCTGGTCCCAGAAGACATGGCCCCAGTAATCTTCACCACACGTGCCATTAGAAAGGCCTCCAGGGCTAATTCCGGAGAATGGGAAATCGGAAGAACCTGGAGGAGGGATGGCACTTAGCAAGTAATAGAGGCATCCATAGATGGCCTGCCTCAGTGGCAGAGGTCCATCGGCTTCAACATGGCATCCTTCCCAGAGTGTGGCCCATGCCTGGGTGTGCGACGGATACAAGGAACCAGATCCAATCAGTGATATGCCTTCGTTAAAGGCCCTTTTCACGCTCTCTTCATTCTCTGCTATGGCAGTGAGGAACTCCCAACTCTTCTCCTCCTCCTCCCCAGGGAGGGTTACCGATTGTGGCGCTGGAGTCCAGAGCATGTGTACAGCAGGCTGAGGACCACTCTCTACTTCAGGGACCAACGTCTTTCCATAGAGGTAGCTAGAGGGGGGGAAAGTGGCAGGAAGACCTGACTGAGGCTTTAGTACAAATTCTTCTCATCTTCCTTTCTCCACCTGAACAAACTGAACAAGCAAGCTGCCTGCAACAGGCCAATCTAAACTTTTGTTCAGAAGGCAGACTTTTTAGCTAGGCATCTTTGGGGTGCTTAACACAGTCATTGCTATACAGACAAGCACAGCTTTTTGCATCTGCATTTTGAGTTCCTCACACCACCTTTCTATTCACTTCCTTTTGCAACCCTGGTCATACATTTTGGATGCCCTTGCCAAAAGTCTCGGCTGTACTATTTCTCCCTTTCCAGTAGATAGGCCCGTAATGCCTAATTATGTCCCAGTGTCATATTTTATTCCCACTCTGAGGCCTACAACCTCCCTCCCTGGTTGTTACCTATGGCACCCCTTGCCAAGGTAGACCAACATTCTCTGGATGGGGCTGCAGTCCTCTCTTACGCTGAGCTGAAGGCATTGCTCAGAACAGCAGGCACTATCTCCAGTTCCTCCTGCCACTGAGTCCTTCCAGAAAATTGGAAACTTTCTGTGCTGCTCTAGGATAAATCTTCCCACTACTTCTCCCATTTTATATCTTGCTTGGGAAAATTCATTAGGAAGAAAAGATGGAACGGCTGCACAATGCCCTCTGATTATTAGCACTAGGACTCCTCTGGATGGAAACACCCACTATTTTTAAAGTATTTTAGAAGGGCAAACTTCTTCAACATATAAGCCAAAGCAAACCTTCACATGATAATACTTACTGAGCATCCTGGAAATCTGGCCCTCTGTGCAAGTCCAGGTCTGGACTCTTCGGTGTGAATTGGCTCTGGAGGTTCACAGTGATGGGCTGACCTTCAAGAGTTGACCTCTGGATAGTGATGCTGAAGGCCAGAAGGTGGACAAGCGAGTGGTGAGCATAGATTCTGTGTGTGGCTGTATAACTCGGGCACTGGATTGTGTGGATGTAGGTCCCTGCAGGCAAAAGAGAGGGGTCAATGGGAATTCACCTTCCCAAATGTACAAATGCCACACTAGGCAGTCAGCTTGGGAGGTTTTGAGGTGGGAACATCTAAACATGTTCTACAGTCTAATCATTTGTTATTTATATATTACATTAACTAAGACATATTAAAATAATTGTTCATATTATTTAGGGGACATTAAGACATATAATAGGCACTCTGTAGAACTGGAGAAAACCAGGTGATTGCTCTTATAGGAAGCTGGAAAAGCCTTCTCCAAATCTTGTGCACTTTATATTGCAATTTAAAAGGTATTTCCTTTTTCCTTAATGATGATCACATCTGAATCCCAGCCATCCTCCAGCATGGTAAAATTTGCTTCCCTTTTCAGAACAGTTTAGGCTGAAATGAGACTCTGACTGGTCCAAGGTTAGCTTCCTATCTAAGCAGGGAGTTCAATCCAGGAGGCCCAGCCCAATTGTAACGATCTTTGTCAAGTGCAAACCGTGATTGCTTTCAAAGTAGAAACCTTGGCCTCATGTTGAAATAAAACCAATTTCCTGAATGCAACACAAACCTCATAACGTAGCCTTCATTTGCCCCCCCCCCCCTTCGCACCCACACACACAGGATTGTTGCCCCTTACCTGTCTTGGTGTCCAAGGAAAATGTCTCACTCAGGTGCTCTTCAGCAGCCACGCTCATTCTGACATTAACAGGACTGGGGATGTCAGCACGATGTGTGTCCCCCACTGCTCCGTTGTACACCCCATTTACATGAATGATGTCCCTGTAGACTCGGGTGCCCAGGTAGGCATTGGTCACTGTTGCAAGGAGCCGGGGGTCAGAAGGCAGAGCGCCAGCTGTGAACACTGCGGGGTCTTCCTCTGTCATTGCTGCATAGCATGAGTGGGGGAGGGAAAACAGGACTCACACACAGCAAATATCCCATCAGGTGGAAAGCATTCTCTGGGTACTTGCACTACTCAGCCATGCAGATGCAGAGCTGGATGCAAGTATGAGAGGAGCTGGAGCAGCCCACAGATTACTCTTCTAACCTTCATATTCTGGCACTGGGCTAAGGCTGGCTAGGGAGAAATCAGGGCAGGAACTTGCCTCAAAAGGAAGGTGGTGGGTGAGTAGATACCCCCAAATCCACAATTAGGCACCATGGTCCTATTTGGTGCTATAACTTAATAAAGGGATTATTCTGTATCTCCTGGGTAATCAATTTGACAACTGCAGTTTTTTTACCCAGACTGATAAGCTGCACCTGCCCCAATTCCCTATTCTCTGCAGCTTTTGGAGTAGCAGGACGCATGTTACCCACTGGAGGAAAATACTTGTTTAAAGAATGCTATTCCAAGGGTGCTTCCCAATGAGTCATTTATGCCATTGCCCTACCTCAGTTCACTTCTGGTGCCAGAAACAAATTCCTAGCCCTCAAATATGCTCAGAAGCACTCTGTTCTTTAATCCTGTGGATGCTTCCAGATGGAAGTCACCCATTAGAATTCTGCCAGGTGTCGTTCTATCTTTTCTTCCTTAACAGTTTTTCTAGTCAGAAAAAAGGATGCAAGAAGCGATGAGAAAGCATGCGGGGAGAGAGGGACGAATTGAAGTCTTCTTGGCCACATGCACCCTTTAAAATTTGGTGGCCGAGACAGGGCATGGGGCAATAAAAGTGTGAGCATCCCAAGCGCCTCTTGCAGCTGCCTCAGGTTAATTGCACTCCAGCGCAACAAAATGGACCTGAGGAGCTTGAAGTCTCTCCTCCGCACACGACCATGAAAAGGACACGGGGCCGCGTCAGACCCCTAAGGATGCAACCAGCCGCCGCATCCAGCCGCGGGAGCGAATGCTGTGACCGAGGAAACTGCAGAGGGGAAGATCCCTCTGAAGCGGCGCGTGCGAGTTTGCTCCGAGGGAGTCCAGGCTGAAAGAACGGCTATAGCAGACGGGCGTTTGCGCCTCAGCAAGGTCCCCGCCAGCGCAATTCGAGCCCTGCAGGAAGGCTTCTCGTGGGTAAACCGCGTTAAACACACACTCACACACACCCCTCGGCGTGCAGCTTCCGGGAACGCCCTTTGGAAGCTCAGATTTGCGCACTTCTTCGTGGGGCTGTCTGCTTCCTTTCCTTTCCTGCCCCCTCCGGGCGTCGGCGCCTCCCGATCTCCTCCCCACCCTGGGGCAGCGCTCCGCAAATGCCTGGCCCGCCTGCGTCTGCCAAGCGGACTCCAATCTCCCAGACGGCCTGAAGTAATCGTGGACTTCCTGTGCTCCGCTTCCCTGTCCAAGATTTCCCTTGGCCCGCCTGCGTCTGCCAGGGGGACTCCAATCTCCCAGACGGCCTGAAGTAATTGTGGACTTCCTGTGCTCCGCTTCCCTGTCCGAGATTTCCCCCTGTGTCGAGGGCAGTGACGAACAAAGAGGTAAGTTACTCGTTTGGAAGAGGCGGGCGGAGCTTCGTGGAGATGTAGCATGGTGGGAGGAGAGAGCGAGCTGGGAGCTCCCCGGCCTCCAGGGCCTCGCATTCCCTCCGCGACTTCGCCGTTCCCTCAGTTGCAGGTCACAGGAAGAGGCCGCCACGCATTTGAACGGTACCTCATGCTTGCCACCTTTACCTCTGGCAGGTAGCTTTGTTGCCGTCTGCGCTGCAGCCGTCTCCGTAGAGCAAGCGCCCTCTAGCAGCCAGAAGGGGAAAAGGCCGGCCAGCAGTGACCCGGCTGGCGCTACCGCCGACTAGCCGCCCAAGCCTTAGCACAGCCATGAGATCTGGGTACCTTTTAACCATGCCAGCAAGCCATTCTCCGGACAAGCTGCTGCGGAAAATTCAAAAAGGTCACCCATATGCGCTGCCAACCCTTTGTAGTTAATCAAAGCACAGCGGAATAGCGTGACGTGTGAACCCTGCCGCTTGCCTGCCTGAGGAGCCTTCCCCGTAGAGCGGCTGGCTGCTGGAGGCCCGGTGTCCAGAGGTAACCAGCAGAGGGCGAGAGAGCTGCGGATGCAACTTGGCTGTGGCGAAGCGAACTAGGCCGTTGTTTCGCTTTCCCTTTAGTAATCTAGTGAAAGAAGCCAAGATGACAGCTAAGGAGCAGCCATAGATAATACAGGAAGGCAACAAACTGAACAGAATTGCATCTGCAACCCTATAAAATGAGACAGGACGATGATGCCCTAAAAACCTTGACTGGGAACACGCACAATCCTTTCACACAAGCATTGACTCCTGGTTACCCCAGGAATCCTGAGAAGCAATGTTTGTGTGCCTCAGTGGAGGCATGGAGCAAGCATTTTGTGCCATGACAGCAACAGAAAAGAGCAGATCCATAATTTTTACTGTGGAACAAGTGGGCCCAGATTCTAAAGTGTGTCTAATTATTTTTGTGGGAACCCCATAAATATTTAGGGGATTCATGGCTCCGTCTGTTTTTGTGCCATGGTGTCAGGGCAGCACACCACTCCCACTGACAGACAGATTGGTCTGAGGCAAGAATAGCAGCACAAGCATGAACAACCAGCTCAGCAGCTTGGGCAGAGAAGATGGAGGGGAGCACATAAGCTCCTAAGTCCTCAACTGAAGAACTGGGAGTATAAACAGATGGGATGGATCCATCCGGTTGTCTGCTGCAAGATCTTTCAGTGAACAGGTCCAAGGTTGTTGTTAGTTGCTAAGTTGCATCTGACCCATCGTGACCTCATGGACAACACTTTTCCAGGCCTTCCTGTCCTCCACCATCCCATGGAGTCCACGTAAGCTCACACCGGCTGCTTCAGTGACTCCACCTAGCCACCTCATTCTCTGCCATCACCTTCTTGTTTTGCCATCAATTGTTCCCAGCATTAGGTTCTTCTCCAGTGAGTCCTTCCTTCTCATTAGGTGGCCAAAGTATTTGAGTTTCATCTTCAGTACCTGGCCTTCTAAAGAGCAGTCAGGGTTGATCTCCTCTAGGGATTGACTGGTTTGATAGCCTTGCAATCCAAGGGACTCCCAGGAGTCTCCTCCAGCACCACAATTCAAAGGCCTCAATTCTTCGACACTCAGCATTCCTTATGGTCCAACTTTCACAGCCATACATTGCAACTGGGAAAACCATAGCCTTGACTATATGGTATGCCTATATGGACTACATGGAGACTTGCCTCCACTTTTTAGTATGCTGTCTAGATTTGCCATAGTTTTCCTCTCAAGGAGCAAGCGTCTTTTAATTTCTGCAGTCACCGTCTGCAGTGATCTTGGAGCTCAAGAAAATAAAATCTGTGACTACCTCCATTTGTCCCCATCTATTTGCCAGGAAGTGATAGGACTGGTTGCCATGATCTTAGTTTTCTTGATGTTGAGTTACAAGCCAACTCTCCTCCTTCACCCACATCAAGAGGCTCTTTAGTTCCTCTTCACTTTCTGCCATGAGAGTGGTATCATCTGCATATCTGAGGTTGTTGATATTTCTCCCAGCAATCTTAATCCCAGCTTGTAATTCATCTAACTCCGCTTTTCTCATGATGTACTCTGAATATAAGTTAAATAGGCAGGGCGACAGTATACAGCTTTGTCAAACTCCTTTCTCAATTTTGAACCAATCAGTGGTTCCGTGTCTAGTTCTCACTGTTGCTTCTTGACCCGCATATAGGTTTCTCAAGAGACAAATAAGATGGTCTGGTACTCCCATCTCTTTAAGAACTTGCCACAATTTGTTGTGATCCACACAATCAAAGGCTTTAGCATAGTCAATGAAGCAGAAGTAGACGTTTTTCTGGAACTCCCTAGCTTTCTCCATGATCCAGCGTATGTTGGCAATTTGATCTCTAGTTCCTCTCCCTCTTCGAAATCCTGCCTATACTTCTGGTAGTTCTCGATCCACATACTGCTGGAGCCTAGCTTGTAGGATTTTGAGCATAACTTTGCTAGCATGTGAAATGAGTGCAATGGTGCGGTAGTTTGAACATTCTTTGGCATTGCCCTTCTTTGGGACCAGAATGTAAACTGACCTTTTCCAATCCTGTGGCCACTTGAGTTTTCCAAATTTGCTGTCATATTGAGTACAGCACTTTTACTGCATCATCTTTTAGGATTTTGAACAACTCAGCTGGAATTCTGTCTCCTCCACTAGCTTTGTTGTTGCTCAGACTTCCTAAGGCCCATTTGACTTCAAATTCCAGGATGTCTGGCTCGAGGTCAGCGACCACCCCATCATGGTTATCGGGGACATTATGCTCTTTCATGTATAGTTCCTCTGTGTAATCTTGCCACCTCTTCTTAATCTCTTCTGCCTCTGTTAGGTCCCTGCCATTTTGGTCCTTTATCATGCCCATCTTACCATGAAACCTTCCCTTCATATCTCCAATTTTCTTGAAGAGATCTCTAGTCTTTCCTCTTCTATTGTTTTCTTCTATTTCTTTACACTGTTCATTTAAGAAGGCATTCTTATCTTTTGTAGCTATTCTTTGGAATTCTGCACTCAGTTGGGTATATCTTTCCCTTTTTCCCTTGCCTTTTGCTTCCCTTCTTTCCTCAGCTATTTGTAAAGCTTTCTCAGACAGCCATTTTGCTTCCTTGCATTTCTTTCTTTCTTTCTTTCTTTCTTTCTTTCTTTCTTTCTTTCTTTCTTTTTTGGATGTTTTTTGATGCTACCTCTTGTACAATGTTGCGAACTTCCATCCATAATTCTTCAGGCACTCTGTCTATCCTATTTTATTTATTTATTTATTTAAAACATTTTTATGCCATCCCCATCGCAACAAAGCCTCGGGGCGGCTTACAACAAAAACAAAGTTATACAATAAAAATATTAAAACCCGGTGCATCTCGGCTTAAAAATTTTAAAATCCTACAAATAGCCAATAAATTAACACTTAAAATAAGTTTTAAATAAAAATGTCTTAGCCTGGCGCCGAAAAACAAATAACGACTTCTATTTGTCACCTCTACTGTATATTCATCAGGAATATGATTTAGGTCGTACCTGAGTGGCCTAGTGCTTTTCCCTGCTTTCTTCAATTTAAGCCTAAATTTTGCAACAAGTAGCTCATGATCTGAGCTACAGTCAGCTCCTGGTCTTGTTTTTACTGACTGTATGGGGCTTCTCCATCTTTGGCTGCAGTCAGTCTGATTTGTGTTTTGACCATCTGGTGATGTCTTTGTGTAGAGTTGTCTCTTTGGTTGTTGGAAAATAGTGTTTACTATGACCAGAGTGTTCGCTTGACAAAATTCTGCCAGCCTATCCCCTGCTTCATTTTGTACTCCAAGGCCAAACTTGCCTGTTAGTCCAGTTATCTTTTTGCTTCCTACTTTAGCATTCCAATCCCCCATGATGATAAAGACATCATTTTTTGGTGTTAATTCTAGAAGGTGTTGTAGGCCTTCTTAGAACCGGTCAACTGCAGCCTCTTCAGCATCAGTACTTTGGGGCATAGGCTTGGAGTACTGTGATATTGAATGGTTTGCCTTGGATTCGAACTGAGATCATTCTGTCATTTTGGAGATTGTATCCCAGTATTGCCTTTCCTAGTGTTGCATTGACTGTGAAGGCTACTCCATTTCTTTTGAGGGATTCTTGCCCACAGTAGTATACCTGATGGTCATCTGAATTAAATTCACCCATTCCTGTCCATTTTAGTTCACTGATTCCTAAGATGTCGGTGTTCAGTCTTGTCATCTCTTGTTTGACTATGTCCACCTTGCCTTGATTCATAGATCTTACATTCCAGGTTCCTATGGAGTATAGATCCTTACAGCATCGGAGTCTCCTTTCACCACCAGATGCATCTGCAACTGAATGTCCTTTTGGCTTTGACACAGTCGCTTAATTCTTTCTGGCGCTACTAGTACTAGCCCTCTGCTCTTTCCCAGTAGCATACTGGGCACCTTCCGACCTGAGGGGCTCATCTTCCAGCATCATATCTTTTCGCCTTTTGGTACTGTCCATGGGATTTTCATGGCAAAGATACTGGAGTGGGTTGCCATTTCCTTCTCCAGTGGATCACATTTTGTCAGAGCTCTCTGCAATGACCTGTCCGTCTTGGGTGGCCCTGCACGGCATAGCTCATAGCTTCATTGAGCTACACAAGCCCCTTTGCCATGACAAGGCAGTGATCCATGAAGTCTGGTGTAAGATATTTCAGTGAACTGGTCCAAGGTGGGGTTAGACAAGGGGGTGTCTGGAGATCTGGGCGATCTTGGGAGATAAAGTCTAAATAGTCATGGGCTTGTGAATTTGGAGCTTCTGCATCTGAGACTGGAAGAGGAGTAGGAAGGTTCAAAGTATTCTATTTTCCTAGGCCCAGGGTTGCATTAGAAAGGGGAGCTTGCTCATCGTTGATTTGTTTGCAAACGGAGAATCATCAGCATTGCTGTAACTGAACAAGGCAGGTGCAAATGGGAAAGATGTTTGAAGGCGAAGGCTTGTGCCTTTTCAACCAAGTGAGCAGCAGCAGCTGCTGCTAAGCATAAAGAAATGAGCAAGATCCTTTGGAACAGGATGCAGAGGATGTGGCTGCTGGTTGTTAACTAATCTCCCCTTTTCAAACTTTCAGGTTAGGTATAATTTCTAGCAATGGACATGAAGAAAAATGTCAGACAGACCCTCTGTGATGCCTTGGAAGATCTCTTGGAACAGCAGTTTAAAGCCCTTAAAGGGAGTCTACCAGCCACTGATGAAGGAAGGGAGGTCCCCAGAGGTCAGCTAGAGAGAGCTGAT